AGCCACATGGTCCCTCACCTCCAGCTCCACCTCAATGCTCTTCAGAGGAACTGACAGACAAACAGAATCAAAACATCCAAACTTACAGATGGTACATTATGAATGAATTATGAAAGAGGTAGGGTCTAAGTCAATACTTCTTCCACTTTTTTTTCCTACTTTTCTAACTTCTTTAGTGTTTCAACAATTCTGGGCCTTTATAGTATTTTTTGTTTTCTGATGCACCAAATCTGAATCCACCTTCATGCCATCAGAGATGCAGGAGCGGATGTTTTTTTTTTTTTTACCTGGGTCCTTCTGGGCAGTTATCAGACCACAGGATCCCGTATCTGTACCTATATACAGACAAATCATAGATTTTAGTTTACTGGTACTGATACATTTACACATTAATGTCATACAAAGGCAAACTGAGAGAATGAATACAGAAAGTGAATATGACACGGCTAAAGGGTGCAATCTCAGGTCTTTTTACAAAACATCTGAGATAAAGTTTGTGATATAACCTACAGAAGAGCAGGAAGTTATTTTAAAAGACACCTATTGTATTAGCTAGATTAAAATATCTTTCTTTCTCTTTTCAACCTTGCACTTTGTAGACAGTCCCTGCACAATCCCCTCTGAGTCACAGTCTATAAATAAAAACTTGTATTTATCTAGTTCAAAGAGTAGCACAATTTCTTCCATTTTATGGTTGGAAAATATATCAAAATTATTATTATTTTCAATTTTACTTGGTATCAGAATTTTGGTTAAATTCAATGACTGGTCAAAATATTCTTAGTAGGTTTTAAAAGGTCAGGTTTTAAAATAAAAAAAGCAACAAAATATCAAGGGTGGGGTTTATGAGGCTGGATAAACAGGGAATTCCATACTATACTGCCTTCCGTATGGAAGACAGAAGCTGGAATATTGGAGGAAACATTGGACTACAATCAATTAAATGAAAGGTAGTACAACTATCCCATAATTCATAAAAATGATCAAAATGACTGACAGGTGACAAAGATTATAAATCAAAGTCAAGACAAGAAAGTGTTGAAACTTATAAAGACTATCAAATTTAAAAAAAAAAAAAAGGTTAGACTAAATGCAGAGAAGACAGGGAAGTAACAAAATACTACCTGTCATTAATAAAATCTATGGAAAATAGCAAAAACTAAGACAGAAACTCAAAGAAACACACAATCCAAAAACATAAGAGTGCTAACTAAAATCTTATTCCAGCTACTACCTTTTCGTTAAGGGCTTATTCTGTAAATGTCCTTCCTGATGAAACCAAAATGTAAAATTTATGTCTGTCTGGAATTAAACAAGCAACCACTTTCTCGCCGAGAGTATGTGTTAACCGCTATACCCATGGAGGAACTTCAAAAGTGCCAATTTATTGGTTAAAAAAATGACTAATTGAAAAATTGGCTTTAAAGAAGACGGACTTTTCTCCAATTTTTCAAAGTGGCTTTAAGCAATAGTTTTCCAGAATGCTTGTAGAAATAAATCCTAGTACCCGACCATTTTCCCAGGAATGCTATTTGCTTGTTGGTTAGTCAAGCCAGACGGAGAACTATTCCTGAATTTTAAATAAATAAAGAAATTACAAGAAAGCTTCTAAGGGAGTTCAGGCTCCGCTGAAGAATAAAGGTGGCTCGAACTCTGTTTTGTCCTATACACTATTTTTCAGTTTATGTTTGCACATGCTCCAGTAAAACTACTTACCTTTACTGATCTCACAGGAATCTGAAAAACTGTATTGGCGAAGGTATAAAACTGTGTGACACAAGACAAAGTTATAATCATGATTTAAAAACAGTGTCTTTGAAGTGTATTTACAGACAAGCTGTAGCAAAAAAAAATCTTAATTCAATCATAAAGCCATAACAATTTTGTAAAAGAGAGTTAAAATCGGGAAAAAGATGCAAAATAATATGTGAGTCATCCCAAAACTCTTGAGATGAGCAACACAAACTAAACACTGGCAGTTAGGAAGGACCTCAGGTGGAATGATGTACCTAAATCTATAACGTGAGGCCTACATGAATGCACATCTTTACATCTGGATTATTGCTCTCATGTGGGACTACTGCAAAATGAATGCTGTATCAGGATGCTGGATATTTACGCAGAAGAGTAATTTAAAAAAAAAAGTTTGTCAGTATATATATATATATATATACTGACATGAAGCTCTAACCAGAAATCATTAACAACTCGTCCAATCCAAAAATACTAAGAAATCAAGCCAAATGTGTCTATAAATTATGTGTAAAAATGAGAAATGACACAGGGGAAAAACGCATGAAGAAAGGGAAGTGCAAAAGGGCATGGAAAGAAGAATATCTATCAGTAATTAAAAAGCAGTTCTGACACTTAGTGCAAATTAATATCAGTTGCTTCAGTCCCAACTGATGGGCTCTGAAAAGGTGTCTCATTACCAATGTGTCACACAAGAAACATCTCGTGATGGGTAAAACAAATGAGCTCTCACAAGACCTTGGCAACCTTATTGTTGCTTCCAGCGAGCACTACTGGGGCCATGTGCATGCACTGCACATTTTGTGCTGCTGTGACTTCATGCATACCTTCCTTCAGCTGTGTTAGTAAGATACAGCTCTGCAGACTACATGTGTAAAACTCATCTCGTAAGTAGAGGCCTACATTTTGCATATTTTAAAGAGTGATTTTGAACTGAAACTCTTAATATAACTTGCTCCAGACCAATTAAGTGTTCGGCATAAGTTACCACTGTGAATGAACAAGGTAAAAAGAAATCTACCTTCCTGGCAATGAAAACTCCAACTCAGAGGTCAAAATATGGTGCTAATAATCATTGTAACAGTTGGTGAAATGTTAGTATTTGACCACTAGGCGGAGCTCTTGTAATGATAATGTAATTAACGCATTTTATTTTGTATGTTTTATTTTTGTGTTGAGCATGTTAACATTTTCCTTTT